TGAGCAATCATTGTGCCAGGTCGCTTCTGAAAAAGAGCGAAATAGCTCAGTGGGCCTTACCTGGTAAAATTACATTTGAATAGCTTAGTTTTTAGTTATCTATTGCAGGAGTCAGCAAGCTGCAGCTCCGAACCCGCATGCGGCTCTTTAAGGACTGCTTCGTGACGTTATTAACATGCACTGCGGCTCTTGACAACTTGAGTTTTTTACTGAATTAAAAAAAAATGTCTCTCGTTGCTATTTTGATTGCCGACCCCCGATCTATTGGGACATAGTTTGTAAGCAGGGTGGTGGGGCGGGCGGTGGGAGGGAGGCACGTGGGGTCACCTCGGTGAGACGGATGAGCGACTCGAGCTGGCGCGTGGTGATGGGCGTGCCATCTCCCCCGTGGTGCTGCCGCCGCAGTTCCAAGTAGAAGTCCTGCAGTGTCTGCGCCGCCTCTGCCGAGAGGCGTGGGCGCACGTAGCGCCGCGCGTAGCCAACGTACTTGCGCAGCAGCGAGTGGGGCACGGGGTCCAGCGCCTCGCCGCGCCGGCCTGCGCACGCGCGCAGGGCGACGCGGCGAGCGCCCGTAATTAACCTTCTCCCATTCCGATGACGTGTATGTGTACGTCATCGTTTGTTCTTCCAAATCCGTTCCGATGACGTGGGTTTACGCCATCGGAACGGAATCGGAAGTAAAATGCTACGGCGGGAGGGCATGTGGCACAGTGTGGAGCCAGCTATCGCAGAGTGCGGTCGTGTCGCTGCAGTTCTCTGCGGTGATGTTTTTAAACACAGCAGCGCTACACCTCTCTGAATAAAATTAACGTCAACCGCTCGCGCGTTCCAAGATTCAGTGGTGAGCGGGACCCATCTTGCAGATGTCTCAGAATGGGAAAGAGTTCATATAAATAAAAAAGTCTAAGTGATTTATTGCTCTATTTAGCATTGAGCGCGGTGCTCATCTTCAATTTACAAACCTGAGCCAATGGTGAAAACACCGCGTCCCTATGGCATGGGCGAGTCTAATCTTAGGACAACAACACCGTGAACGGTAAAGCATAAATGCAATATCTCAGTCCGTCTGTCTGGAGGTGGGTGGTTATGATAACTCTCGTAAATAGTACCAACATTTTAATTTAAAGTTGTCTTTCTATTAAGAACTTGCCCTGTTGAAAACCGGCCAAATTGATCATGGGTTGGCGAAAGCTTCCAGACACAAATCAGCACCCTAAGGACTACAGTGCTTCGATGTGCCCACATCTACGCTTCCCCGCCTACACCAAACCTGCACCGACCAGCATGCCAAAGAAAGGTAAAACAACCTCCGCGACCCACACGGCATGGGTGGCCGTCATCCATCAACGGTTCGACAAAAAGGGAGGTTCTATTCTGAGCCGTCGTTACCTTAAGTCGATCGGAAAGAGAGAGGTCACCGAGGACATCGTCAGACGAGAGGCGGCGAGCTCCAGCCCAGGGACAGCCGCACGGCTCACGGAGGCCCCCGCCAGCAGCCGCTTGCCGGCGTGCATGGCCATGACGTGCTCCGAGAGCACGTGGTCGCGCTCCTCGTCCGGAGTGTCCACCAGGATGAAGACGAGGTCGAAGCGCGACAGCAGGGCACTGCCCATCCTGCGTTCAACACGCGACGCAGCAGGGCCGGGTCAGCTGTTTGATTTTTTTTCAGTAGGAGCCCGATATGGAGCACAAACCACAAAAGAGTGGGGGTAGGGGGGGAGTGGTGTACAGAAATTCCTCGGACATTAGTCAGACCGAAAGGCTGTGCACGTGAGTTTAAAGAAGGGGGGAGATTGGGCTCGTTACCCTACCCATTGAGTGGGGACCGCGAGAGGGGTGTGTGTACTTTTATATGCGAAGGTGAGGTGAAATTTTTGTTTAAAGAAATTTGAGGGAGCGGGTGGAAGAAGGAGGTTGGGGGGCGTAGGAGGATAGAAAACAGAAAGCGAGGAGGGCCAAGTGAGCTGTTAATAGGTGAATGGACTCACTAATCGTAAACGACCATCATCGGCCGACTGTTCATTTAATCAGTTGTTTGTTGGTCTGCCATTCTGTTTCAAATCCAAGGATGAAATGATGTGATGAGGTCAAAGTGTGACAGGAGGGCACTTCTCATCCTGCGTGGCTTTTAATGGGAGATCAGACACAGTTCCGTAAACAATCACTGTCGTGCTTAAATTTCGATTTAAAGCTTTCGTGACTGCAGGGATTCATCTTCTTGGTTCTTTCGGTAAAGTCACGTAGAATGGAAATAATAAAATAATAAAACATAATCAAATAATTCTCACGACGTTTGGCCACAATGCAAGCAGCCGTCCTCAGGTGAAGAACAGGTCTGTTGAGACGACAGAGTCTGAATGACACACCCAGGCTTGGAGCGTATATTTAAGCTGGGAGGGAGGAGGAAGAGCGCCTTGACAAAAATTTGCATATCAAGAGGAATTTTTGCATATTTATGGGAAAAGCAGATATGCGATTAGTACTACTTGTGAAATGTGTAGGAGGTTTGGCTTATTTAACAATCATTATTTACTCATTGAAAGATGACTGCTTATCGGTGTGTCTGTCAAACGCTTATAACTTGAGAGCCGAATGCAGTAAGAGGATTAGCAATGCACCAAATTCCCCGATTCCAAAATGGAATGTTGTAACTACAGGACATGATCTAACTTGCAGATCCGACAAAAACTCAGGATACAATAATTGTTTGGTTGTGATTTAATCGCTCACTAAAAGCTGTAGCGCAATGGTCAGTGCAGTGAGCTAATTGTGCCAGTTACATTTTGATTTAAAGCTTTCGTGACTGCAGGGATTCCTATTATTGGTTATTTCAGTAAAGTCACGTAGAAGGGAAACAATAAAATAATAAAAATATAAAACAATACAATTCTCACGACATTTCGATTGCAACACAAGCAATCATCATCACATGATGATCATCACCTGATGATTGCTCATCACCTGATGATGACTGCTTGTTGCAGTCAAAACGTCGTGAGAATTTTTATTGTTTTATATATTTTTTATTTCCCTTCTACGTGACTTTACCGAAAGAACCAAGAATATGTGCCACAGTTCTCTGCACTCATTAAGATACTGTCCAAAGAAAACTGAAACCCAATATCCCCTGATAAAAGCCTTGGGATTCATTAAGACTTTCCTGGGTAACCCCATTCAAAGACTCAAATCCAACCACTGTCAAATCAGGAATTGATTTTGAAACCGCACACACGGAGCTGCACGGCACTTTGGGAAGCGAGCGAGATTGTTTGCGCGTGTGTAATCTCCAGACAATCAACCTTGGTGCGCTCATCCAATCGATGTCACATTTCACTGAGCTGTTGTGCATCTCTGTAATTGCTCCAAAATGCGAAAAGCTCTTTGCCCACTACCCCGTGGCAAAAGTGGACAGCATATAATGCTGGCACTTGATAAAATCCTCATATTGCGTAACATGTACATTCCTATGAATGACAAACCTCACAATGTTAATGAAAATCACCGAGATGTCTGGTATGCAGGAGGTCATGGGTTCAGTCCCGACCCTGGCAACTGTGTATTTGGAGTTTGCATGTTCTCCCCGTGGTCACGTGGATTTTTCTCAGGGTCCTCCAGTTTTTCCCTCCACATTTAGAAACATGTATTTGACTATACCTTCCTTTCCACTTGATAACCCACTTCGTTGAGCTATCATTTGTGGCCAACTTCTGAAAAAGCGCTAATAGCTCACTGGGCTTTACCTGGTAAAATCAAAAGTTTTAGTTTAGTTTACACCTTGAGCGCAGGAGCGGTGGCACAGTAGTTAGCGCCATGTGAAGCCGGCAACCCGAGTTTGATTCCCAGCCACGGCGAACAGTAAACCAGTTTTTTCTCCCCATCAAATTCACCAATCCACACGAACCAGACTGGTGAAGTATAATAAAAATAGTTTCCATTAGCAAAGCCTTGACAAAGGGCTGTAAGTTATTATTTGTTATTAATTTTGGAAAATAATTCTCCATCTCGTGAAGTCTTACGTTTATCCGGTAGCGAGCACATTATGATATGTGGTGGTACGTGCCGAACACGTACCACCGCAAATGTATGAGTATTGAAAAATCAGTCATGGAGTACGGTGAATTCAGAAGTGAAGCACAAACTTTAGGTTCTCGGAGACAGTCTTGGACTTGTTGTAGTGCCCACAGACAGGATTGGCAGCTGCCACGATGGACGTTCGTGCCGGAAGGCTGCAAACCTGCACGGCCAGACAGATATCGTAAATGTAGCGTAGACATCAAGACACAAGACTGAGCATGTTTCGCCATGAGAAAACACCCGCTGCAACAGATCGAACCACAGGCCGTCTTAGAAACATCAACCAGACCGGCTTACTTTCACCTCTGCAGGGAAGGGTTCAATCGTCCCAAGCATGCGGAACCTATGGGCCGCAGGTCATACGACCACGTGAGGCCTAAAACTTCTAAACGGCTTACAAAAATATTAAATCCGTGACTGCGAGCATCTTAGCTGCACTAATCAAGTGCTAGAGAGGAATAATTTTTACTTGGCAACGTGTTTTTTTAATTCCGAGTGCAATCGGTCACTTCTGTAAACGCAGGGGACTCTTGCTGTGAGAAGTGACTGAGCTGTAACGCGTGGCTCCTCGCCAACGGGATTTGAAAGCCCCATTCGACCCTCGGTGAGAAAAATGTTCCCCACCCCTGACTTACGTGGTTGTTTTGTTGCGAGCGGGTTATTACGTGCACCTCCAATTAGCACGGTTGGCTATGTACGGCGCAAAAGACGTTCAACATACACACATACATACACTTTATAATTAAGATATTCCTCCAGAAGAACTATCCAAAACATCAAGATATGCTTTTCTCTCAATGACAGAAAAAAAAGTTCAAGTTTTACACGCAACGATTTGCCAAAAACACGAATTTATCCCTGCGAGCTCTGCTACGCAAACAAATCGAAATTGTACACGATGGATTTATTTGCGAGGACACTTCGGACTCTGCTGAGACCATCCGTCAAAATCACTGCACAGACGAGAATCTGGTTTATATTGGGCGACAAACCTCGGGGCCCAGGGGATGTGGCTCAGTCGTGTTGACACGAGCCTAAGCGTTCCCCTGAGCCACTCAGCCAGCTCTGTGCGCGACTGCCAATTAAAAACCCCGTGCCCACTTCCCGTACCACACCACGCCAGCCTTGGCCAAGCTGATACCTCTGTTGCTCCATCGCCTCCAGCAGTGCCTGGTGTTGATTTGGCATTTTGTCAAACTCGTCGATACAGCACAAGCCTAAGAAAACAAACATACGCAACACACGAGGGTCGTTTCCTAACTTCTTACGGGGACAGCAAACGCCTTGCAGTCCCCTGCGTGCGTCATGAACCCAGCACAAATACCAGTTGGAGTTCTGAGAGATGTTTTGAGTACAAATCCAAACTTTTTGCTGATTTCAGGAAAACGTCACTAATTAGAAACATGAATCGCTATGAATGTGATTTTTTTTTACAGTGTTGTGAGATATGGATGCATTTCAACGACGACATTTCAATGTCTATTGCCGTGGTTCTCAACATTTTTTGGCTACTGTGCTCCCCTGTTGAATTTTGTTTCAAACGGTTACCCCCTTGCCTGACCCACCATGGTTCTGATAAAATAAATGTAAGAAGAACGAACATCAATATTTTAACCAATTGTCCATTTTGTGAAGTATCCTAACTGGCTCGTGACTGCAAGCGAATAAAAAAAACAACGGACGCTCTGCATGCGTGATGTCATTTCTTCGCACTCGCTGGTTATTCTTCGAAACCACTTTGTTTATGATCAATGAGTTTAGAAAGGTATTTTATAGGTTACCATGCGGATTGAAATGTTATCGCAGTTATTTTATATTGGCAGATTCGTACATGATAATTCACCGATGACACATCTATTATATAATTTCACAAATGTTTAAACCACCTCGCTCACCCCCAGGGGTCCACGTACCCGCCGGTGAGAACCACTGGTATTGACAATATGGTTGTAGATAGCATCTAAAAGCAACAGGATCTCAAGACACTGTACAGGGGCCACAGCGGACAGAGTTGCAGTGGTCAGGTTGAGATTTCAGAATCAAAAATGTATTTATACTGGATGGATCCGATGAGCTATAAAAGTCTTTTTCACAGATGTCCAGTCGGAGCAGGTAAGAACGTTACAACAACAAACAATACAAAAACATGACAGGAGTGCAAGTACAAGAAAGGTAAACAAATCACCAAAACACACACAAATACAACTAAACAATCCCCATCCTACCAGACAAAGCCCACTGAGGTACTTATTGTTCAAAAGCGACCTGGCCACAAAGGATATCTCAACAAAGTGGCTTACCATTTGGACATTTATAGCAGCAAAATAATCAAAATATTAGAAACGCATGTTGCTAAACGTGGAGGGCATGAAGATATTTCATGAAACGATTAAGCCTAGCCATGAGCACTGCTGCTTGAAAACCAGGGATGCCTCTGTAAATGACACCCATTTTCCACCGGTAAATCCTAATCATGATAGCACGGCGCTCTTTTGGAATGGGTGGTTTTTCACTGTGATTCAGAGGCAAGCCAGAACCAAACCGTGATGTGCAGAGCCAGGAGCGTGGCTACCGACTTATTCATTCTGCGCCGACCACCAGCATCACCAGCTTAGCTTTTGTAGTGGAAAAACCACCTGGCACCAACTGAGCCGAGCCAAGCCGAGCTGGCTGGCTCGGCGTGGTCCCCCGCACGGCTCAGTTATGCAGTGGAAAGAGGTGCAAGTTGCGCACGTTTGTTGTAATGGGGCCATCACCTTGATCTCCCAGGACCAGGGCACCAGCTTCCAGCGCGTAGTCCCCTGAGGGACCGTCCTTGGAAAGCGTGACGGTGAGTCCGGCCGTGGTGGTGGTGTTGCCGCACACGTACACGCCCCGCGGCGCTATGTTGCACACCGCCTATAACGAAGCACCGTCAACAACGCAACACCCAATCCGTAGTTACCCAATGGCACGTGGGGCGTACAACTCTTTCCGTCAATCTGCTGCTGGATGAGGGCCTCCCCAAGGCCATGCAGGTCGTGGCGGTTGGTTGATCTTACGTCACCATGCTGGTGAGTGCGAGGTGGCAAGGTGAGGAGCAGATGTGAGAGGATACAATACAGAATGGATTTTTTCTGTACTGCCCCCCTGAAGTGCATCACGTAGCCCCACAGCGACCCAAAACCAAACCGGCATGTAGGGTGGTCACCCCCCCATCCAAGCACTATCCAGGCTCAAAATCTGCTTATATTCTTAGATCTTACAAGATCGAGCACATTCTCAACGATTTAGTAAGAAGGCTACATAATACACGTAAATGAATGATTCCCCTTGTTGAAGTGGGTAGATGCAGAATGATCCAAGTCCAAACATCTATGGCTTCAAATCTGTGCAAATGTCAAATACATCATGGCACTGTTAGCAAGACCATGCTATTGTGTGCTTATAAGACGGCCGTTTTACTTATAAATTATCATTTAAGAAGCATGCGACAACATCACCATGAATACACCCAGGGTTGTTAAGACTTCAGAAAACCAAGCAGGATATGAACACGATTTATTCCTGGGACAGAAGCCTGCCTGGAAAATACCAGGTGTCGTATCATCGGTATCACGAATCCAACTGGATGGAATTTGCGAAGGCACGCTAATATTTGCAAGGCCTCGCGCATTTTCATTTAAACAAGCTCCGCAAATATAACCCTGCTGTCAACGCCGCCGCCGCCACCTGCAGCATTTGGCTCTTGCCGAGGCCTGGGTCACCCACGATGAGCACATGGGGGTCTCCGCGCACGGGGATGCGGTTCTTGTCCGTCACGTAGCGTTGGACGCCGCCAAAAAGGGCCAGGGCCAGCCCGGCTTTTACCAGCTGTGGGATTGCAAAGCAAAAGCGAGAAAAAGGATCACATCGCAAAGAATAATAATAATAATACATTTAGTCGATTGATTGTTACTCGACTACCATCTGCAAATCGATGCAAGTACAACAGACAACACTATGATACCTCCTTTACCAGTGGCAAAATATAGTAATAGGTTTTTACCCTTTCAACTGGTACAAAATCTGACAGCTTTATACAAGGGATCATGTTTGCAATAACCACAACACAAGCAGTCAAAATGCAAACAATAAGAAACAACTCTGATAATGAAAGGCACTGTCCTTGAAGTTGATTGGTCCACACCCGAGACAGCTTTTCTTAGAGCCTAGTCTCCATTGGTGTTGGACCAGATGACGCCAAAAGGCGTACAACTCGAAAACAGCGCACTATCAGGGTATTGAGAGCTCGGGGTAAGCATTTACACTATGAGACCTCCTTTACCAGTGGCAAAATATAGTAACAGACAAGTGAATTCCTATCACACGGCAAGCTGTTAATCAGCTGCACCCAGAAAGATCGTGGCCTTACCCTTGGCAGAGAGAACTTAGTGACCAAGATGAACCAAATAGAAGGGTGCCAACATTGTGTCATTGAAACTCCTGTATTGTACAGATAACAAGCATCATTTTACTTTTTAATCAGAGTAGTTTGGTAAAAAGAAAAACAATCTCATCGGTACCCCAAGATCCTATGAATACATTTAGTGACAAAGGAATGAAGTGTCCATGTCACTACCCCACAGAGTACAACAGGAAGTGCAAGGTCAATGAAAACGCGTACTTTGTCCTGCGGATCAGAAGCCTCCGTGAGAATCTGCGACTGCTGACTCGCAAGTGAATGCACGGACACTCTTATGATTTAGTCTTCATTTAGCATTTTATAAAACTTACTTTTGAAGGCTGACATTGTTGAATCAGCCGAGTTCCTTTAGACCACAATGTTCTCACGTTTTATTTGATGGTTTCTCATACCCAATCCCTCCACCCGTATATCAATGAGCTGTCACTCGATTTAAAATTCTGAAATTCAATCATGTTCGCGGAGGTGACATGATGCAGCACTAACGCACGTAATTATATGAGGCGCACAAGGCGTTTAAGACTGTAATGTGAAAAATAAAATTGAATAGACAAACTGCTAGAATAAAATGTCTTCATCAAGGACAGAACTCACTTGCGCAGGCAACGGTAAACCAAATGATTCGTGTTACAGTGTATACCAACCCTTGGAATTGATAACTGTAAACTAAAAATCATAGTGGTTCAGTTAATATACATGTATCCACCGTGCACCCATGGTTCATGGTGTATATGTATGTTTTGTACGAACCTCGTGGCCGTAAATGGTCGGACAAATAGAACTGCAAAACAAACCAGACATGTCCACTTATGGAATGAAAACATAGTGGATAATAAAGAGCACTGTTATATTATAATCACTTTCTTCCATCTCAGGGACAATACAAAACCCTGTTCATTTTCTTCCATCAACTTAATATTCCAAATACATTTGCTGTATTTCACGAACATGTAGTTGAAATTACAATGTACATTTTTTTTAAACATCATGACTTGAATAGTAATGATATGTTTATATTTATTGTGAGTGGTAATGGTAAAATTACATTACTGCCTCCATGTTCTGGGCCACACGATCAACTCATTTGATATTAACACACCCAACAGCCCATGAGGGGCAGGTGTGCTCAACTCCGTCGATGCAAGTCGATAAGTCTCTATGTAAGTCAACGGATCTCTATCTGAGTCTCAGAGTCTCTATACATGAGTCAATGGTGACCGGGTTTTGAAAGCATCGACTCACTACACTTGAGAACCCGGTTAATCACAGTTGCCACAGCACTGGTCTATGAGCCACCACCCAGCCACAGCATTCCTGCACATTTGTGTGTGCACTCACTGCATGCACAAGTAGCATCTAGCCTGGCACAAGCACTGTGGTGACATCACCGCCACTTAATGGCGAATGGCGGCTGTTGTCGTTGTTGTGCACTCACTGCACAAGGAGACGAAAGAGGTCGGGCTGCGCTTGGATCTCCTGCACGGCATACAGCTCCTTGAGAGAGAAATCCAGCGCCACCCCAGGTGCCGTATCTTCCCCGCCCCCGTCACTACGCTGCCCTTGGTGTTGCTCACCGCCACCGCCTGGATGTACAGCAGGAACATGCACTTGTCCTTGTTGCTTTTGTTGCGTCCTTGAGTGAGTGGCACACAAGACATCCACACGGGCAGGCAGAGACGGAAAACAGTAGAGGTCACCCGGTGTAAATATCAAAGGTTAATCTTACATTGGATTAGAAATCGTGGCTTGATCAAACATGTCTTAAAATGCACGTGTAAAGCATGATAGCTCAGATTCACATCTCGACGCAACGGCCAATAAACATTGCCAGAATATATTAACTGGACTTCCACTGAATAAATAGTCGAAACATCTCCCTTTATTTGAAACAAGCCTATGACCAAATCACCTGCAATGCACCTGATCTCATCAGACATTGAAAGATAAACATGGTTGAGCCTGCACAGTGCTTATATGTATTACCACCATGCATAAAAAAGTGATGTAGATAGCTGCAGAGTTATGTTGCGGCAAATCCAAAGGACGATCACTGTGGATCTATACCCATGGTGCAAGTATTCACATCTCTGTGCACATATCTACTATGGGCATAAGTCAGAGAGCCGACGAAAGATTGCAGGCTCTAAAGGCAGTCTCGATCGTGTATATATGTACATATACACACATTTCGATTTAAAGCTTTCATGACTGCAGGGATTCATCTTCTTGGTTCTTTTGGTAAAGTCACGTAGAAGGAAAATAATTAAATAATAAAAATAAAACATAATAAAATAATTCTCACGACGTTTCGGCCACAACGCAAGCAGCCGTCTTCGAGACGACTCTGTCGTCTCGACAGACCTGTTCTCCACCTGAAGACGGCTGCTTGCGTTGTGGCCGAGACGTCGTGAGAATTATTTTATTATGTTTAATTTTTATTATTTTATTATTTTCCTTCTATGTGACTTTACCGAAAGAACCAAGAAGATATACACACATGTCCAGCACTTTATGCAAGAGCCTCTCCACATCATGCATGCAACGAATCGGAGTTTGCATCCTAGAGCAGCCACTCTAAAGCGTTCGCTTCTCTTTACAAAACAGACAGGTACGGTTAACGAACTCGGGGCATGCCTTCATCGCTGCTGGCGACCTTTACGATGCCCGTGAGGGTGATGACGTCCCCGGGGACGCAGCTGTCGACGAGGTCGTGCGTGAGCTCACACTCCACCGTGCGAGGGATCCTGCCGGCCTCACGCTGCTCCCCGTGCATCAGCTCCTGCACCCTGGAATTCATCGAGACTCCTTCACTGCCTGCAACAGACTCTTCTCTTTTCGCAACGGTTTAAATCCCACGTGTGGAACGTATGGCAATTTCTGTCGCAGTGTACTGCTGAAGGAAGGCCTGCTCGTGCCGGTCGTAAGGGTTGTTTTGGCTAACATCATCATGCTGGTCAGTGCGGTCATGACACAGGATGCTAAGCACTGCACAACTTCTTCACCCCCAATTTAACTTTCATTTCACAAAAATTCCCCTTTTATGTCCGAAATAAATCTCATAAAGCAGGATGTGCTGTGTCTTGAATCTACAACCTCTATAAAATAAGTTCACATTTCAGCTTCTGTACAAATGTTTTATGTATGGTTTGAGATTACTACTCTTAAAAATTTAACAGCAGTGCGTACTGACTGTGGTGGCACCTGCTATGATGACAGCAGTGCATACTGTGGTGGTACCTGCTATGATGACAGCAGTGCATACTGTAGTGGTACCTGCTTTCACTGCAGCAGTGCATACTGTGGTGGTACCTGCTTTTACTGCAGCAGTGCATACTGTGGTGGTACCTGCTATGATTACAGCAGTTAATACTAACTGTGGTGGAAGCTGCTATGATTACAGCAGTGCATACCGATTGTGGTGGTACCTGCTATCACTACAGTAGTACATGCTGACTCTCGCAGTATTTATCGACTCTATAGCACAAAGTACTCACCTGACAGAGTGGCATGGTGAGGCCTAGTCCCGTGCAGTGGGACCTGCTATGATTACAGCAGTGCATACTGACTGTGGTGGTACCTGATATGATTACAGCACTGCATACCGACTGTGGTGGTACCTGCTACATCTAGCGACTGAATAGTAGTAATAACGGCACGCATCGGGGTTGGGGAGACATCACACAGTGAAGAATTTACCTGAACGTTTAGTGTATTTTTATAGCATTTTTAACACGAAAGAAAATGCCCCCACCCCACCAAAGTCGCGTGATTTGGTATCGTCGTGCGTGCGTGATAAATAAATAAAAGGTCTACTGCCTAGAGTGCTAGCATCTAGCGACTGTAAACATTAGTAACTGCACGCATCGGGGTGGGGGGGACATGACACAGTGAAGAATTTACGTCGGCGTTTAGTGTATTTATAGCATTTTTAACGCTGTATTTTTATAGCATTTTTAACGCAAAATTAAATTTCCCCCTCACTCCCACCAAAGGCGTGCGACTTGGCATTGGCCGTTACCCCCCACCAAAGGCGCGTGAGTTGGTATGGTCGTGCAAGTGGCATAAATAAGTAAATTATTATTACGTAATCGGCCAGTGTAAAATTCCTTCTACTTTTACATCACCATCATCATGGCTTGGCTTCGCGAACGAAGATCTAGGAAGGACATCCACGTCTTCTGCAGGCACGCTGGTGGCTGAAGAGGCCTATGCGGGACAAGCAGGTCCTGCCACAACAGCTGCAAGTATAGGTCTCATCTGGGATGGGTGCTGAGGGATCATGGTTCTTCCTCCTTCTCCTTTAGTCCTCCATACGGGCCCTGCGGGTATCTTCGAAGAAGGAGGTGGCCTGGTGGACTGTGTGCCGCCAGGAGTTGCGATCAGCTGCTTGTGTTGCCCACTGACGGTGATCGATGCAGCAAGCAGTGAGGGACTTCTTCAGGGAGTCTTTGTATCGCTTTCGTGGTGCCCCTATGTCGCGATGGCCAGAGGACAGTTCCCCATACAGCACGATCTTAGGCAAGCGGTGGTTCTCCATCCTGGCGATGTGCCCTGCCCAACGAAGCTGTGTCTTGAGGACCATGGCCTCGATGCTGATGACCTTCGCTGACTTGAGGACTTCAGTGTTGGCGACGAAGTCACTCGATCGTTTACCTTTATCCCGATTTCCAATTGCATTTGTACGAGTACAGGACTTTGAGATACAAATACTATTCAAACACTTTAATGTGCTTAAAGACAGGCGTGAGTACATTGTGATTAATTATGTTTCTTGTGAGACAGTGCAATGCCTGACTCGCAATTGTTTTAACCTTGTTTTGTTGAACGTATAACTCAACAGAAGAGAGCCTTGCGTTTTTCTCACTTGATATTTTGCCAGTCAACAGTCTCGGTGAGCTGAGAGCGTCTGTTCGGCATGAATGTTCTCGAGCGGCAATCTTCATCTGCGCACTTTAGACGTTTAAAAACGCACGCCACGAACAGACGAACATGACCAAATTAATTACCCGCGACAGTGAAACGACAACGTAACATTTTTCAGCCATATAAAATCTTCAACGTGGGAACACATGATTACCAGGGAACATTGAAATTGTGCCAGGAAGAAACTGGAGTACCCAGAGAAACCCACGCCATATGAGGAGGCGATACCCAGGACTGCCATCTCCCGGCTCCCCATTGCAGTCCCATGCCTAAACACCTGGTGTGGTCACCTGTTCAACCCAGCTTGCGTTGACCCTGGATCATTTTTGGATGGGTGACAACCATAAAACAGGTGCTGTGTTAATTGGTTCTTTACCCTTCTATCTGGCAACAAAACTGACACCTTTTTGCAAGGAGTCATGTTTGCATAGACCGCAATACCTGCAGTCATAATACAAACAAAAGAACATAACTCTGATAATGTGCACTGTCCTTGAAGTTGATTGGTCCACACCCGAGACAGCTTTCCTTCGAGCCTAGTCTCATATGGGTTGGACCAGATGACGCCAAAAGGCGCACTCGTGCGCCTTTTGGCGTCATCTGGTCCAACCCATATGAGACTAGGCTCGAAGGAAAGCTGTCTCGGGTGTGGACCAATCAACTTCAAGGACAGTGCACATTATCAGAGTTATGTTCTTTTGTTGTATTATGACTGCAGGTATTGCGGTCTATGCAAACATGACTCCTTGCAAAAGGTGTCAGTTTTGTTGCCAGATAGAAGGGTAAAGAACCAATTATCATATTTTTACTGGCAAATGAGGTCCCCATAGTGTAGGTGCTGTGTTCTCCTGCAGAACTACGCTGTCAGCGCCTTCACCAACCCACGCAAACCATAATGGTGAAATAGCCCAATAACCCCCACGACCCGCATGGCGAATTAATGTATGTTGAACTTCTTTAGCACCGTACGTAACCAACCGTGATAATTGGAAGTGCGGGGGTAAGGACAACAAACTAAACACAAAAAGCAGTGTAGGAGGCCCTCATTGAGGCAGCTCAATCCCGTTTGGTTTTCGTAATCTGACCAGAACGGGCTCACTCGGGCCGATTTGTGCTTTTGAGAACAAATGAATTAGTGAATGAATGCACGAACGAATGACTTGAGAGCGGGATACCTGCCTTGGTCGGGAGCGTGAATTTCCCGTACGGGAGCGGCAGCGCTTGCTCGGTTCCGCACACATTGCAGGAGAAGGCGAGACGAGTGCACAGCGGTTTGATGTTGCCGACACGCACCACCGTGCCGCGGATCGCCACCAGCCTCCCGTAGCAGTTGGCACGCAAGTTCTTCAACTGGGTCAGCGGCTCGTAGTTGTAAATTCTGGTCACAAAAACGAGACGTGAAAATTTTACGAAATAAAACCAATAATGTACAACCCACCGTCGATCCCACTGCTGAACGAAGGCCTCCCTATGCCGTGCCGATTGTGGGGGTTGTTTGACCTTACGTAATCGTACAGGTCAGGGTAAAATGCAAGCTTAGTCAACTCGCACGGTCCAGTGTGATGCAATACGGCAAAAATTATTCACCACATCCTGCACGGTGAGGCACTCATTTAACAGTGGATTGACATATATAGGTACATTAAGTTCAGAGTACACAGTAAATGTGAACATGAACATCAAGACGTCATCACAACCTAATGCGATCGATGCCACCACACCAGCCTCCGCAACTGTTGCACAGTCGACAGCCAACTTTGTATGTGCATGTAAGGGCTCATTATTTTATTTTTTACGTTAAATAAAAGCAGAAACTCAGTGTTAGGGGGGACATTTTCCATTCACTCAAAGTGGATTTACAAAATGGGCTGTAGATGTACTTGTACAGTCTCCTCTCTTATAACGCGTGTTTTCATAACGCGAATTAGAAATAACGAGATAAATGTATTGGAGAACATACTTTTTACAACACGGATGCGAATTGGATATAACGCGATCGAGTTAGCAGAACTACGTTGCACGAGTCGGAGTAAGCGGTTGTACGGCTGCCTCGGCGTAGCATCACACAAGGCGGGATGCTGCTCGATGCTTCCAAGACAATACCCACGCACCTCAGACTTTCTTCAGCCTGCGTACGCATCTCGCATGCTATCGCGGACTGTGCTTTTACCTATAATATAGATTATTCATTATAACGCGATTTTTCCATGACGCAATGTTCTTTAGGAATGCAACCACCGCATTATAGGAGAACACGATGTATTATTATTATTTTTACCGAACGTTTATAAGAGGCACGTTCACGGTGGGCGCCTCTTCTTGCTGGATGTCGGCTTGTTTCTGCAGCTGCACCACCTGACTTTCCAAGTCCTTCGTAAGGGTCTGGCAATAACAGACACGAGCAGTGAGAGCGGCTACAACATCATCGGCACAGCTGCCGACAAAGACCCTAAGTCATATTCACTCCAAAAAGAAAATAAACCGAAACTACTTTTGTTCATGCGTGAAATTTATACACGACGGGGGTCGATGTTCATTCATTTGTCTGTATGGAAGTGTTGGAAGGTTTGTTTTAAAAACTGCCCCATGAGATGTTATTTTTTTGTTACTCCAAATCAGAGACTGATATATTAAATTGTAATAGATCAGGTCTAAACATAGCATTTGGGTAAGGTTTAGAATTGGTGATACTCTGGACAAAACTTATGTTACGGTTTACTAAGTATGGTGCGTAAGAAGTTCAAAATACATACAAGAATTAGCAGCCTAAAACCAAAGCAATCGGAATGAGCCCTATCTTATCAGATTTAGCAATCCAAGTAGGTATTGGGAGTGGCTAGTGCTTGGATCGGCGACCAGTGTTGTAGGCTGCTGTGGAACTACGTTGTCAGCAGAGAGCAGTGCAGCAACATCCATCGCTGTGATGTTCGTTAATGCTTCCTAGTCTGTGCTCCCCACCTTCACCACCATGCACTGACCAGCATGGTGAAGTATGCTCAAATAACTCCCACCACCCGCACGGTGTGAGAAGACTCTGATCCTGCAGTGGGTTAAAAAAAAGAGCTGTACGAGAACAAGTATTATCACTGTTGATGGATTATGGTCAAAATATCAGTGTGATGAGAACTCGGGTGAAATTTGAGTTTGAATGTCTAGACGTGGGGTGCAGTGTAAGTAGACCTGATGCACGGCCAACCCCATGTACTGCAGCACACGGTCAGGAGTCTCAGCAAGGTCATCTGTCAGCGTAGGCATAGCGACAGTCAGACAGTGGTCCTCCACCAGTTCTTTGAAGTCCACCAGGATGCTACCTTTCTCTTCAATCTCATCCTGAACCAAACAAGCACAGCAGAGCACATTAACTTTTACTGGTAGGAACCACCTGGTTCCACCAGCCCACAGGGGATTATTGTGTCCGTCCGTCCGTCGGGCATCCAAAAATGGGAGGGGGTCGGGCTGGGTGGAGAGGGGAGGGTGGGGAGGGGCTGGGTGGGGAGGGGCTGGGTGGGGAGGGTGGGACTGGATGGGGGGTGGAAGGGGTGGGGCTGGGTGGGGAGGGGCTGGTCACCCCGTGGTGCCCTTATAAAACTCAACGTTTAACCTACTCACGGCGGCTTGTGCCCACCCTCAGTCGGCCATATTTGCGGAATACACCACGCTGCCGTTGACCCTGGCCATTGACCGAGCAACCCAACGTTCCTACCAGCTCCCTCCGCAGGAATGTGTTACACAAGAGCCTCAGCTTTCTGCCCCATAAGACTAAGTTGATATCTAAGACACCAAACAAGATCAATAAATGCCCTTCTCTGAAAATCTATGGTACAATTATATTGATATTCAAGTGAGGTGGAGCGATGGTTGTGAAGTGGTTCAAGCACGGCACTATGACCCGAAAAGTTGAGTTAAATTCGCAGTCATAGCAAACAATCAGTGGTGAGTGATATCTGAACCAGTCCCATCTCCACCTCCCTCTTCGCCAACCTGCACTGGTGCAGTATCGTCAAAAACACGAAATGGTACGGAAAGATCTTCATCCAGCAGTCGATTAGCGAAAGGGCTTTATATTATTGAAGTATAGTTTAACATGCATACAATACGTCATTAGAAACTTGAGGCATTCTTGGAAAATCCAAAAATGGTTTAACAGGAGGCCTTTAAATAGACAGGTGGCTCATTGACAAACAAATACCAAAGTTATTGTAAGCTAAAAAAAATACTAACGAGGAATTGTAACGTAAATTCACAGTACCTTATTATACAGTTCAAGTCTTGCAATGAAAAACTTCTCAAAGGCCTCCACTTTGGTGACAATTCCTCCGGAGTTGCAATAAACTAGAAACACAACAAAACACACAAAGTCAATAATACAAGTGGAACATGACATCGCAAACAGTCGTCATGTAAATACTGTGTCTGGTCCAATAAATTCCCAAAAAAACACAGAAAAATGTAGCACTGGAAAGTGTTCATCAAGTGACAAAAGAAAAGTGCATTTGGAATGGACAATAAATTAAACATTCATAGACAATGACAGTCCTCATTCAAAATAGCAGTACATATGTCACTATTACAATGAAACCACCACAAGATGCCAAACGCACGGAGGCAATAAAAATACATCAACCACCTTCGGAAGGAAAGTAGAGCTTCCATCCTGGGTATGGGCAGAAATCATCCAGGGTGGTTTGAAGGACCCTGGCTTGGCACGAAGAGGGAATCTTTGGAGATGACACATTGGATCCACCTGAAACATTTTGTAGGTATTGATCATGATGAACCTATGATTAAATCATCTAGAATTTCACCATCAGCAAGCAGTAGCCAGGGACAATGTTTTGATTGGCAACCGCTATGCATGCTGGGTTGTCATAACGCTTGCGAGGCTACGTGGTGGGCAGCAGAAGGCAGCGCAACAAATACATTATGGGATCTCCTTTGCCAGTACCAAAATATGATAATAGGTTTTCCCCTAAACAAAACATGTGTTAAGATGATTGGTCCAATCAGTTTCAAAGACAATGCATATATTATCAGAGTATGTTTTTGTTTGAATTCTAACCACAAGTATCGTGGTTAATGCAGACATGATTCCTTGTAAAAGGTTTCAGTTTGGTGTATTAACATCTGAACACCTGTTTTGTTGCCAGAAAAAATAGGAAAACCTATTCTCAACAAATACATTTACACGATCTAACCCAAAAAACCTGTAGTATGGATAATATTGGTCGCGAAAGCCTATGTGTTAAACAAATACGTTTTTGGAGTGCGCTTCTATGCCCCCACATCTATGCGCTCCGCCTTCACCAACTTACAAATCGTGAAAATTTCTCAAATAACCCCAATGGCCTGCACAGCATGAGGGATAGATGATGTATTAACAAACGTCTGATTCAAGGACATTATTTTTAAAAGTGCAGGCCATGTTGGGATGGTCCAAATTTGCCAACTTTTTCAATACAATTGGCAAATTACTTAAATGGGAAGTCACCACATACACCAGTGCTGCATTAGACCTTGCACTGAAAGTTGCCACTTGAGACCCCTTATGCTAGACTACGACAGGGAAGTGCAATGGTTCAAATGAGATATGCTGTAAGGTGCTTTGAGATTGTATCGCATAAGAATCATAATCTGTATGTATACTGGCGGAATCTGATGAGCTATAAAGCTCTTTATCACAGATGTCCATTATAAAGCTGCCTATCAAAGCGACCCGCAAAGCCAAACTCGAATCCTTATCATGTCGGGATGGGAATCGAAAGGCGAAATGAAGGTACAAGATCTTGCAAGTGAATGTGTTATACTGGTAGGAACCTCCTGGTTACACCAGCCCACAGGGGATTATTATGTCCGTCCGTCCATCGTGCAGGGAGGGGCTGAGTGGGGAGGGAGGGGCTGGGTGGGGAGGGTGGGGAGGGGCTGGGTGGGGTGGGGCTGGGTGGGGAGGGAGGGGCTGGGTGGGGCTGGGTGGGGGGTGGGAGGGGTGGGGCTGGGTGGGGAGGGGCTGGTCACCCCGTGATGCCCTTATAAAACTCAACGTTTAACCTACTCACGCCAGCTTGTGCCCGCCCTCACAGTCGGGCATATTTGCGGAATACACCATGCCGCCATTGACCCTGGCCATTGACCGAGCAACCCAACGTTCCTACCAGCTCCCTTACAAGTGAATGTGTTTATTATTACCACGGAAGCAGCTGCCACCACCGCCTCCCCGGCCGTTGTAGCGGCCACGCCAGCTACCTCCTGACCCTCTTGAAGCACCGCGCCAGCTTCTGTGGCCACCTCGCAGCCAGCCTCCACCTCCTCTCCCCCGACCCTCCGTCTCACTCATGCCCTGTGTGTCCTCAAGCAAACAAACAAAAATACAACGCAATTAAGGACATTTCATGCGCATGTACAATCGCTGCCCTTTTTCGTCAATGCACCGTCAGATGAAGGTCTTCCCACGCTGTGAAGTTGTTGGGGATACGGTAAACATAACCCCTTGTGCTTGCTGTGACAGTGAGGCTGTGAAGCCAGCCTGAGGGCAGGAGAGCAAAGGATGTTGCCACATAGCCGTCGTCCCCCATCTAAACTGGCCTTAATATCATCAATTATCTTATAAGTGGCTGAACGTGGTCGCATCTCTAGAGAAGAGGGCACACATCACTCAACAGCTAACAGACGGCAACTTTAACGTGAAGGGGAATGAGCGGCTGCTCTATTAGACAACTGCATGTTGTACCTTGCAGTGCAGTAAATGTCTAGGGATGCTGCACCATAAGGCTCTAGGTGAGTGTTCTTAGTGCGGTCCCCGACAGTGACAACATCTGGCAACAAAACTGACACCTTTTTTACAAGGAGTCATGTTTGCATTGACCACAATACCTGCGATCGGAATGCAAACAAACACAAGAATAATACATTTAGTCGATTGTTACTCGACTACCATCTGCAAATCGATGCAAGTACAACAGACATTATGAGACCTCCTTTACCAGTGGCAAAATATAGTAATAGGTTTTTACCCTTTCAACTGGTACAAAAACTGGCACCTGTATACAAGGGATCATGTTCGCAATAACCACAACACAAGCAGTCAAAATGCAAAAAAGAACTCTGATAATGATGTATACACTGTCCTTGAAGTTGATTGGTCCACACCCGAGACAGCTTTTCTTAGAGCCCAGTCTCACATAGTGTTGGACCAGATGACACCAAAAGGCGCAGTTTTGTTGCCAGATAAAAGGATAAAAACCCAATTATCATATTTTGCTACTGGCAAAGGAGGTTCCAATGGAGTGACAACATCGTGTTGCTGCTGTTAAACCCCCCATGGTGCTAAACGTGTGGCGACCCTCACACAGATGCTGTCTGTACGCCCAAAGTGCTATACCCCAGCCCCCCCCTCTCTGAAAATCAGTGAAGAAAACTGCCCCATAAGCGATGCCGTCTTGGTCTATAGGGTTTCGCAATGGGATTGCAACCCCCCAGATTGTCTCTGGGTTGCGATTAAAAACACGATGCAAAGAAGATTTTCTAAATCCTCGACAGATCTCGCCACCAAGCAAGCTCATTGCTCAGGTCCGTGTGGGGGGGGGTGGGGGGGGGTGGGGAACTCCCACACCTCTTGCAAACGCGGCTGGCCAGCGTGGAAGAGTAGGCCAAAATACCCTTGAGACTAAGAGGCCCTTCCACCAGCAGCAGTGCGACCTCACCGAGCAATTGCAGTGCTGCGCCTTTAGAACACGCAAACTGCACTCACGTATCAACGTATACGACGCATGCAAAGTAAGATTTGATTATTATAATTTTTTTACGTACACGTTATTCACGCGATGTTTTTTTTTACTCGTTACACAGTGTAAGCGACTTCGCCATTAAACTCGTCCGCAGTTGTTTATTTAAAAAACGAAACGAATTAAAATCTCCGCCGCCTCACGCACAAACTGTGTTTGTTATCTCCCGCGCGCGGCAACGTCGCCGCCGCTGATTGGACGACGACGCGCAGAGCTCACGGTACCGCCCCTCCAAGCAAGGCGATCGCTCATTGGTTGAAGTGAATCAAGGGAGGGGCTGCATGCCAAACCCGAGGGGGTTTCCCTCTGTCACAAAAACATTCCTCCTGCAGAGGGAGCTGGTAGGAACGTTGGGTTGCTCGGTCAATGGCCTGCAGGGTCAACGGCGGCGTGGTGTATTCCGCAAATATGCCTGACTGTGAGGGCGGGCACAAACCGGTTATCTCTTCTCTAGCCCGTGTCACCCACTCACCCATCAGTCCATCTCTTCTCTGGCCCGTGTCACCCACGCACTCACCCATCAGTCCATCTCTTCTCTGGCCAGTGTCATCCACGCACTCACCCATCAGTCCATCTCTTCTATAGCCCGTGTCACCCACTCACTCACCCATCACTCCATCTCTTCTCTAGCACTTGTCACCCACTCACTCCTCACCCATCAGTCCATCTCTTCTCTAGCACGTGTCACCCACTCACTCCTCACCCCTCAGTCCATCTCTTCTCTAGCCCGGTCACCCACTCACTCACCCATCAGTCCATCTCTTCTCTGGCCCGTGTCACCCACTCACTCACCCATCAGTCCATCTCTTCTCTAGCCCGTGTCACTCACCCATCAGTCCATATCTTCTCTGGCCCGTGTCACCCACTCACCCATCAGTCCATCTCTAGCCCGTGTCACCCACTCGCTCACCCATCAGTCCATCACTTCTCTAGCCCATGTCACCCACGCACTCACCCATCTCTTCTGTAGCCCGTGTCAACCCACTCACCCATCAGTCCATCTCTAGCCCGTGTCACCCACTCACCCATCAGTCCATCTCTTCTCTAGTCTGTGCACAAGTTCTGCCTCCTCTGTCCGGCCAAACAGAAGCTGCTTGGGCATGCGGTGGCTGGCATGCGGGGTGGGCTAAATGACCCAGCCAGTGCAGTCTCGCCTTGCAGGAGGAAGCTCACCGATGGGACGGTGTCTTTCAAGGATCTGTGAGCTCCTCACACGATCCAACCTGGTTAAACCCAGGATGTTAGGCATGCCAAGCCTGAATTGTTTCAAACCGGCTCACCGTCGGCGAGGAATGTCAAAGCCAGGCGGGGCGATGCTGATTATGTTAATGTTTGGGTCTCGAATGAGGTGATACATTCTGTTCGCCAGCGTTGTTTGTGATCCAGGTGAAATCATACAGCGTGGTCCAGATGTATTGTGACCCCCACCCCATTGCATTGTCTAAAACTTAATATGTTTTTTTTAAAGTAATGTTCATTTATAACAAAAATGAATGTGCAAGGGGAAATAATGTTAGGGGTCAATTAATGGGGGGGGGGGAGGGGTCACAAGGCATCTGGGACACCCTTGAGGAATGGTGACAGAAGGCGGATCAGTCGTGGCAGCAATTGACCACGTGGTGGCGCTGTGAGCACGTGTCATTCTTGTCAATGCCTGATTCCGTAAGTGCCCGAGGCTGGGCCTTAAACTTGCAACGCTCATCTCATTTGGCTGTCGTGAGCTAGCAGTGGAAATTCCACGTTCCTTTGACGAGCTTTCATAAAATGTGATTCAACACAGCATGCGGTTTTCACTTCCCACCTAATGTTGTAGCCACACTACGGCAGTGCCGTTTTGACGATGGCGGTTGTGGTGGTAGTCCTGCAGATTATAATGACTACAATAATGATACCCTTCCTTTACCCAGAACATATGAACACCTTTTGATTTAAAGCTTCGTGACTGCAGGGATTCATCTTCTTGGTTCTTTCGGTAAAGTGACTTTGCCGAAAGAACCAAGAAGAAAAATATGAACAACCTCTTTAATTAGGCCCTCTATTGGGATGTTTGATATATGCTGATGGATGACGCGATTTAGTTATAACGGGTTGATATTTTAGCCCATGATATAACATTCGTAAGATGTTAGAGCAGTGGATAGCGCACTGCACTACAAACCGGTGCCCCTGAGTTCAATTCCTGGCCACGGCTGACATGATTGGCGAGTGATGTCTGGGCCCATCTTCGCCACCGCCTTCACCAACAGAGGGTGTGCCTTGTGAGGATAGGTTAGGACGGGTGACCACCAGGGCTTGCCAGGTGTTAGTACTGAGTGTCTCCCCCTGGTATGCAGCAACGCGGTGCTGGGTTATCTCCAGGTTTCTCGGTTGTCCTCCCAAATGAATCCCAAACTAGCATGAATGTAAATGAACAAACATGCCAATGCAAGGCCCTCTGACAAAGAGCATTACGACTTAAGCGAGGTCTTACCAGATGATCGATATTATCATTCTGCATCAGTGATATCGGGGCGGAGCGTTGGCTCATTGATTTGAGCATTACGCTTTGAATTACCGACCACGGCTAACATCAGTGACGAGTTATAGTCAAACAAACTCCCCTCCCCCATGACAGAAACAGCAGTGGATGCATTAAAGTTGTACATTTTTTCATGATGTTATTATTCATATAACTTCATGAGGCTTACATTCATATTCGTTAGTTTCTATATTAACCATCTGCATTTACTTTTTGCTTTGACATAATGGGATTCGTAGCAACTTAGCACATTTTTTGGTTTATTTAAGGCTTATACTATATGCGTTCGGGGGCAGGTGGCGCAGTGGTTAGCGCACTGCGCCTACGTGTGGAAGGTCATCCTTTTGGTGACGTAAGTGGGCACGTTGATTTGATCCGGCTTATTCGGGCTGTGACACTCGCCCACAGCTCGCAATTGTTCATCGCTGCGAATTCAAATACTGCCAGGGACAACAACAACAACAAAAACCCCCACCATTGGAACCTCATTTGCCAGTAGAAAAATATGATAATATTTTTTTTACCATTTTATCTGGCAACAAACTGACACTTTTTTTACAAGGAGTCATGTTTGCATAGACCACAATACCTGCAGTCGGAATAAAAAAAAAAAACATAACTCTGATCATGTATGCCCTGTCCTTGAAGTTTATTGGTCCACACAAGAGACAGCTTTCCTTAGAGCCTAGTCTCACATGATGTTGGACCAGATGACGCCAAAAGGCTCTAAGGAAAGCTGTCTCTTGTGTGGACCAATCAACTTCAAGGACAGTGCATACATGATCAGAGTTATATTTTTTTGTATTCCGACTGCAGGTATTGTGGTCTATGCAAACATGACTCCTTGTAAAAAAAAGTGTCAGTTTTGTTGCCAGATAAACGGGTAAAAAACAATTTACAAAAACCCGTTAACGTTGAGGCGTCAGCCAGCCAGCCGGCTTGAGCGAGCGAGAGAGCCACGTCTTGGCTGCAGCGCGCCGTGAACCCAGAGCAATTATTACGCAGTGGCGCAGATAAGGCATTTGACAATGCGTGCAAAAATACAGGGTGCCCACCCCCTCCCCCTCCCCCCACAACGCACCCACCATACACAACACGCGCGCACGTGGGGCTATTATGCGCGTGGAATTGCCGCGTTTGTGAAGTGCGCGCGCGTCCCACGAACGCCTCTGCGGCTGCTGCAACCATCAGATAGACACGAGGCACTCGCATAAGTAATGCATCCTAATAGCGCATTACGGTGTGGGGGGAGGCTATGATATCGTGGAGCATTGTGACAGCTGCATCGCCCGACGCGTGCATTATTACACGAAAGCCTCTTCTTCACTCGCCAAAACGCCCTGAATCTGCCCAGGGATAGAGTCTGGATTTGGGATGCGCGTGTTTGGATTGGGTGACCGCAGTTTGCTTCTTCTTGTTGTTGTTGTTTTGTTAGAGACGACATGCATACGTGGCCGGCAGTGACATGTATTGTTGTATTGTACTATACTTTCTGCCCCCCCCCCCTTTTCAACTCCCGATCGAGGCTTTGCCCCCTATGTTTACCAACACGCATTGAACAACGCTGGTGAAGATGACGGTCATGTAACCCCCCCCCCCGCCCATGACCCACACAGCGTGGACAGGCCCTCATCCAGCAGTGGATTGTACATATCCCTGCCGAACGTATTTCTGTGTTAATATGTATTGCATGAATCCGGTCGTGAGTGTCATGTATTCTACAAAGATGTTTTCGAAGGGCTGGACGTAGCTAACGCAGTTTGGTCTGAATGCTAATGCTGATATTCATCAAAACAAGACACACGTGCAATTCCGTGTGTCGACACCAACTGTGTGCTTGTCAAATAAAATATGTAAACTGGCCTCCGTGAAAAGTTTCATGTAAGAAATAAATGTGTTTTAGCCCATCCGAGTATGGCCTTTTCAGACCGCGTTTAAATCCCCACACCTTTACACTCACAACTAGAAGCACCGGCTTTGTATCCACAGGACCACTACTGCATCTCCTTTCCACACGCATTATTATCAGCAACAGCTTCTTCAAACCCATGCATTTTCATGCATCATCATTGCATCTCCGATTAGCACGGTGGCTACGTACGGTCCGAAAGAAGTTCAACATACTGTACATACATCATCACACCATGCATCATCATCATCAGCAGCTTGAGTTTCCTCACACCCATGCATCATCATCAGCATGAGTTTCCCCACACCCATGCATCATCATCATCAGCTTCCCCACACCCATGCATCATCAAGCATGAGCTCCTCAACCCATGCATCATCATCAGCATGAGCTTCCTCACACCATGCATCATCGTCATCAGCTTCTCCACACCCAGCATCATCATCATCAGCATGAGTTTCCCCACACCAATCATCATCAGCTTCCCCACACCATGCATCAGCAGCATGGTTTCCCACACCCATGCACCATCATCATCAGCTTCTCGACACCCATGTATCATCATCATCAGCATGAGTTTCCCCAAACCCAATCATCATCAGCTTCCCCACACCCATGCATCATCAGCATGAGTTTCCCCACACCATGCATCATCATCATCAGCTTCTCCACACCCATGCATCATCATCATC